CAGACAGACAGACAGACAGACAGATAGATAGATAGATAGATAGATAGATAGATAGATAGATAGATAGATAGATAGATAGATAGATAGATAGATAGATAGATAGATAGATAGATAGATAGATAACACTTACCTGTATGTGAGAGTAGTTGTCTCCCATTTTGGATTCCCATCAGTGAGGACAAAATCTCCTGTATCAGGTACACCACATCTGGCCTTCTTCATCACAGCCAGTGTTTCAAGATCTGGTTTTCCAGTCACTTCCAGCCCAAAAAACCTCTGCATTTCCTTTAGTTTTTCAGTTGTAGCAACGGTCTCATTAATATAGAGCTGTCCTACATTTTCATAGTTGTAGAACTGACTTAAATAGTTCTGATAGGGGAGAAAACAGATTTTTGTTCTTGTTGTTAAAACAATGGACTTCAAGAATGAAATAAATGTATGCACTATTTTTGTAATTTTTGTAACCAACTAGTTCCCTGGAAATGCAGTATTTTTCTTTTGAATCATGGCAAATCAGGAGAGCAAAACAACTGCTACAATTGACAAGAAAACTCCAAGATGCCACTCACCCTCCCTTTTATTGATCAAAACTTGCCTAGAGGGGCATTGGGCTAAGATATTACTACTTCCTTTACTTCCTTTACAGGACAATGATAATAATTGCAGTGATACATTATTCAGAGTCTCAAAAGGTTACTTTTTGAACTGTACTTCCCAGTGAACCCCCTAGTGTATTGCCTAGAATTTGGGTAGTTGTTCTCCAAAAAGTAGCTTTTCTAAGCTCTTATTGAGGCTAAGAACAGGCTTTGTCATACTGAACAGTTAAGCAATTTCCTGATGCAGCTGTCTACTTTCAAGTACTAGAGACCTGATTTTAAAATAAAGCTAAAACCCCAGGGCACTTAATACAGTACACTAAACAGGCCTAATATGGCAGGCTTAAAATCTGAACAAAATCTGGATTTTCCTATGGGACACAGAGTACTGTATGTTAACAGAAAGTCCACAATAGGAGACGGAATTCCTGAAGTGCTGAAAAAAATCTGATGGTCACAAGAGAAGGTTTCCACACCTCTTTGCAGATAAGTTGCTTGGTTTGGTCATTGGTTATTGAGAAGTAAGCAGAGGCTCCGGTTAGAAGTATTGCTATTCAGTTGCAAAGATCTGCCTGAAATCACATCTCTGGAGTGCTGAAAGATTTCAGCTTCCATTGAGAGACTAAAGTTGTCCTGTGTTTTCAAGTTGCTTTTGGATTCTAGTGACCTTGGAAGGGCAAGATGTTCCAAGAGTGTTTTACCATTGCCGCTCCCCAGCGAGTTTCCATAATCGACCAGGAATTTGAACCCAGGTCTCCTGAGTCCCAGTCTGACACATTATACACCACACCACATTGAGTCTTAGTTATGGATTGCTTTGGTTCTACATAACAACTTTATTAATAGAGTGCAGCATGCTTTTCACAGCATCAATATGTCCTATAGTACACAATGTATTCTAGCACCTATCTGGATGACAGGGCTATGTAAGGTCCATTGTACTGCTTCAGGGAAGGAAGAAGAAGTCTGGGGAAGATTAGGGGTAGGCTTTAAGTTCCATATGTGCAGAAGAGTGGGTAAAGACATTCACTTATTTTGGACTGTATCTTTCAGAATCCTTAAGATGGTCATTGGCCATCCATGGGCGGTGGTGGTTGATTCTGGGAAATACTCTTTTTAAAAGTAACTTTCCTAGGCTCTGTAGTTGTCTACGGGGCAAACCTCCTCTTTTCTCATATGCACTGCATATTTTTTTTCCTGCAAGTCACAGCTAGGTTGCTAGTTGCCATTCCATAAAGTGCAAAAGGGGGTTGCCTGGATTTAGTGTGGCATTAAGGAATTCTGTAAGCGGTAGCAAGAACGTACATCAAAAGATTTGTTTAAACTCTTAATTCTAACTATCCACTTCTAAAGCTCTCAAGGCTGCATCCCTCAATTCAACATTTCTGAGTATTCTCATGTGCAACAGACCCCTGAAAACTTCCAATGACAATTTGGCATGATGGGTGAAACCTCCAAATGCTTTGTGGAATGAGGTTGCATCCCGGAGATAATAAAATTAGATAGGCTGAAACCTCTGAAGATGCCGGCCACAGAGATTGGAGAAACGTCAGGAAGAACAACCTTCAGAACATGGCCAAAGAACCCGGAAAACCCACAACACCCATCAGATCCCAGCCGTGAAAGCCTTCGAGAATACATAAAGATTGTTGTCATTTTACAAAGCCATTTAAGCAGAACCTGCCCTGCTGCCTGCTGGGCAGGTCCTGCTTAAATACTTTTGTAAAATGCATCTTCTCCTCTATTTTTCCTGGAAAAGCCACACAAGAATGCCGTTGATGGATCAATAACATACCTGCACACCCATAGGAATATTGTGTGCCATCGTCAATTCTGATGTATGGCATTGGCAACCTTTGTCAGAGTTTTTTAGGCAGACAGTATTCAGAAGTGGTTTGCTACTCCCTTCTTTTGGGAGCATCCAGGGACTGTGCAGCTTGCCCGAGGCCACATAGGCTGGTTCTTCTGGGATACAGAGTGGGGATTTGAGCCCCCAATCTCTGGCTGTATAGGTAAAGGTAAAGGTTCCCCTTGACATTTAGTCCAGTCATGTCCGACTCTAGGGAGCGGTGCTCATCCCTGTTTCCAAGCCATAGAGCCAGCGTTTGTCCAAAGACAGTTTCCGTGGTCACTTGGTCAGCGTGACTAGAGACAGAACGCTGTTACCTTCGTATCGTGGTGGTACCTATTTATCTACTTGCATTTACATGCTTTCAAACTGCTAGTTTGGCAGGAGCTGGGACAAGCGATGGGAGCTCACTCCGTTGCGTGGATTTGATCTTACAACTGCAGGTCTTCTGACCTTACAGCACAGAGGCTTCTACGGTTTAACCCGCAGCGCCACCACGTCCCTATAAAGAGAGTTGTAATTGACTATACAACTATGATTGTATTGTCAATAGCTAAATTAGATGCCAGAAAGCACCACCAACACATCTTTTTGTTTCAGTTGTAGGATGACAAGGAGAATTTGGGACAGGAAAAAGAAAGTGCATTTTTGGTCAATCAGAGATTCAGCAGTTCAGAGCAAATATTTACCTTAACTAAATTCAAATCTTCATCTTTGTTTCCTTGGTCAACTGGAGCAGCAAAAGCAGACAATGTAAACCCAAGTAGGAGAACTGAGAGACTCTTCATTTTTCCAATCACAACAGTGTCTTCTTTCTCCACACGGTGCTGATTTCTTGAATACTGATCTACTTGTGTTTTGGTTATCCTCTGTTTATATAGTAGTTTACAGTTTCCCTCTGTTCTGACTCACAGGCTATGACATCTTCTGATTAGCAATCTGAGATGGATTCATCATTGAGTAATAGCCACAGAACAGCCATTTTCACAATGGCTTAGAAACATAAGAGAGGAAGATGTTTTGCATAATGTCAGAACACACTGTAGAAATTTGCTTAACAATACTTCCCTCCAAGAGGATCTCATGGAGGAAAGCTGAAAATACAAAGAAGCCCAGTGTTGGTGATGTGGAATATGCTGTTGAAACCTGGAAGAGTTATTTTTTGGGAATTACAACTCTCACTAGCAGGGCTAATGGCTGAGATGAGCTGATACACTTTTGTGCAAATACTTTTCTCTGCTTATTAGATCTACTGCAATTTTATTTTTCTACACCTCAGCCTTAATCCCAGTAAAAGTCGATGTGTTGAGTCAGTGAGTTCATTGATTGAACAATAATAGAATAATTAGTAATAATCTTAGTAATTATCTTAGAACTGCACAGCTGGAAGGGACCCTATGGAATGTCGAGTCCAAACTGGAGTGCTGAAAGATTTCAGCTTCCATTGAGAGACTAAAGTTGTCCTGTGTTTTCAAGTTGCTTTTGGATCCTAGTGACCTTCTCCTCTATTTTTCCTGGAAAGCCACACAAGAATGCTGTTGATGGATCAATAACATACCTGCACACCCATAGGAATAGTTGTGTGCATCAAGTCAATTCTGACCGTATTGCATTGGCAACCCTTTTCAGAGTTTTCTAAGCAGACAGTACTCAGAAGTGGTTTGCTACTCCCTTCTTTTGGGAGCATCCAGGGACTGTGCAGCTTGCCCAAGGCCACAAAGGCTGGTTCTTATGGGATACAGCATGGGGATCTGAGCCCCCAATTTCTGGTTGTATAGGTAAAGGTAAAGGTAAAGGTTAACATTTAGTCCAGTCGTGTCTGACTCTTGAGCATGGTGCTCATCCCTGTCTCCAAGCCATAGAGCCAGCGTTTGTCCGAAGACAGTTTCCATGGTCACATGGCCAGCACGACTAGACACGGAACGCTGTTTACCTTCCCACCGTGGTTGTACCTATTTATCTTCTTGCATTTGCATGCTTTCAAACTGCTAGTTTGTCACTGGGACAAGTGACGGGAGTTCACTCCGTCACGTGGATTCGATCTTACGACTGCAGGTCTTCTGACCCTGCAGCACAGAGGCTTCTGTGGTTTAACCCACAGTGCCACATCCCTAAAAAGAGAGGTGTAATTGACTATACAACTCTGGTTGTATAGTCAATAGCTACATTAGATGCCAGAAAGCTTCACCAATACATCTTTTTGTTTGAGTTGTAGGATGATAAGGAGAATTTGGGACAGGAAAAAGAAAGGTCAATCAGAGATTCAGCAGTTCAGAGCAAATATTTACCTTAACTAAATTCAAATCTTCATCTTTGTTTCCTTGGTCAACTGGAGCAGCAAAAGCAGACAATGTAAACCCAAGTAAGAGAACTGAGAGACTCCTCATTTTTCCAATCACAGTGTCTTCTTTCTCCACACGGTGCTGATTTCTTGAATACTGATCTACTTGTGTTTTGGTTATCCTCTGTTTATATAGTAGTTTACAGTTTCCCTCTGTTCTGACTCACAGGCTATGACATCTTCTGATTAGTAATCAGAGATGGATTCATCATTGAGTAATAGCCACAGAACAGCCATTTTCACAATGGCTTAGAAACATAAGAGAGGAAGATGTTTTGCATAATGTCAGAACACACTGTAGAAATTTGCTTAACAATACTTCCCTCCAAGAGGATCTCATGGAGGAAAGCTGAAAATACAAAGAAGCCCAGTGTTGGTGATGTGGAATATGCTGTTGAAGCCTGGAAGAGTTATTTTTTGGGAATTACAACTCTCACTAGCAGGGCTAATGGCTGAGATGAGCTGATACACATTTGTGCAAATACTTTTCTCTGCTTATTAGAACTACTCCAATTTTATTTTTCTACATCTCAGCCTTAATCCCAGTAAAAGTCGATGTGTTGAGTCAGTGTGTTCATTGATTGAACAATAATAGAATAATTAGTAATAATCTTAGTAATTATCTTAGAACTGCACAGCTGGAAGGGACCCTATGGAATGTCGAGTCCAAACCTGTCAAGGAGGCACAGTGGGGATTTGAACTCCCAGCCTCTCACTCCACAGCCAGATACTTAATGCATCTGAAGGATGCTAGGTTGGGTATCCAGTAGTTCAGTGCATTTGTTCTGGCTGGGACTAATAAATGCGTTTTCACATTTGGATTTTAGGCCAGATGTGAAAAATGATATTCATTAATCTTACATAACTAGCCAGTGCAATGTAGTGGTTAGTGTATGACTACAACTCAGGAGACCTGGGTTCAAATCCCTATTGGGTCAGAAGACTGACTGGCTGATTTGGGGCCACTCACTCACTCCCTCTTCCTGCTTGAGCTGTTTCACAGGATTTTTGTGATAATAAAGTTTGCCCAGGGCCACACAGGTTGAATCTATTCACAGGAGGTGAAGTGGGGAATTGAACACCCAACCTCTGGCTCTGCAACCAGATACCTAAACCACTGAGCTATCACAGTCTCCTGTGAGTAGAGCCAACCTACATGCTTTGGGCAAGCTGCACAATTCAAAGATGCCCCTTTGTCCCAGAAGAAGGGAAAGGTAAAGAACTTCTGAGTATTCTCTACATAGAAAACAGAGGAAAAGCTTGTCATTAGTCAGAATCAACTTAAAGATGTATGTCCTTAATGCTTCCCCCTACATTTATTTTTTCACTCAGAAAATTCATTCTATAGGGTGCTAGAGGCAGCTATACTATGGTTTTCAGTCTGTCTGGCCTGTTTGCAATTTAGGGAAGGTTTGCACAGAGGCTTCTGTGGTTTAACCCACAGTGCCACATCCCTAAAAAGAGAGGTGTAATTGACTATACAACTCTGGTTGTATAGTCAATAGCTACATTAGATGCCAGAAAGCTTCACCAATACATCTTTTTGTTTGAGTTGTAGGATGATAAGGAGAATTTGGGACAGGAAAAAGAAATTCTGTGGTTTAACCCACAGTGCCACATCCCTAAAAAGAGAGGTGTAATTGACTATACAACTCTGGTTGTATAGTCAATAGCTACATTAGATGCCAGAAAGCTTCACCAATACATCTTTTTGTTTGAGTTGTAGGATGATAAGGAGAATTTGGGACAGGAAAAAGAAAATTGAAGTGGAAATTTTAAAAACTGGGAGTATGGGTTTAAATAGATGCTGAAAGGCTCGGATGAGAAAAGGGGACTCTCGGACTGCAAAGAGCAATAAGCCATATTTCCCCCCTTCCAAATTAAATGTATTATTATTTTAAAAGTGCATTCTGCTTATACATCATACTGTAGTTCTTAAAGCACTCTCTGGGCAGTTTACAATTTAATTATGCAGGCTACACATTCCACACACACACACCCAGCAAGCTGGGTTCTCATTTTACCAACCTCAGAAGGATCGAAGGCTGGGTAAACTTTGGTCTCCTTGGGACTGAACTCAACTCATGAGCAGAGTCTTAACTGCAGTACTGCAATTTAACCACTGTGCCACAAGGCTCATATTATTGCTTTGGTGACACTGAACCATTTTTAGGTCTAAGCTGGATCCACTTTGTTTCCCAGAAAGAAGAGATACAAACTCGAAATGGATGGGAAAAAAGGAGAAAGACTATGGCTCTAATAATTCATATTTGGATGACAAAATGATTTCAGATGAATAATCTGGTTGTTTAGGCATTATTACTGTATGTCAAAACACGCGTGCACGTGCGCGCGCGCGCGCACACACACACACACACACACACATACACACTCAGAGAGAGAGAGAGAGAGAGAGAGAAACAGTGTAAGTAAGTGTGATTAGTAAGCAATTCCCCCCTGCTTGTAGGCTCAATTTGCAAGCTCAGTCCTGCAAAATCAGGCACGGGGCTGATCAGGTGGAGCTGGCAGGATAGGAAAAATTTGTGATGTTGGCCTGACCTGTGAAGTTTGTCTCCAGTTGTGTTTTTGCTGCTGTGTTTCCCAGTTGTGTGGGGAAGGACATTGCTTCTTCATGCTTTCTTCTGCTGCATTTGCATTGCTTTTTCCTTGTGCCAGTACAGCAGTGTTAGCGAGTGAATGAGCAAGCAAGCAAGCAAGCAAGCAAGCAAGCAAGCAAGCAAGCAAGCAAGCAAACAAGCAAGCAAACAAGCAAGCAAGCATTTGAAAAGATTTCCTCAGATGGCACTTTTTACTATCCTGGGTTCAGAAAACAAGTTACCTGTGAACTTCCAGGTGCTGCTAGATTACTATCAGAACCTGGAAAGCTGGTTTTAAACAATTCCTTTTTGAGGGGGGATTATAATTCCCAGTTGTCCCTAGTAAGCACGGGGAGGTGTCTTGATGGTGCTGGGAACGATAATCCCACAGTGTGACTTTTCCAAACTCTTGTGGTTCTTCACCCTTGGGTATCTTCCTCAGAGCAGAAGAGAATGGTTCCCAATGCATCTGGAGGGTGTGAGGTTGGGGAAGGCTAGTCTGTTATAATTTATTAAGGAAATCAACCCGGAGTGCTCACTGGAAGGACAGATCCTGAAGCTGAGGCTCCAATACTTTGGCTATCTCATGACAAGAGAAAATTCACTGGAAAAGACCTTGATGTTAGGAAAGTGTGAAGGCAAGAGGAGAAAGGGATGACAGAGGACGAGAGGGTTGGACAGTGTCATCGAAGCTAACAACATGAGTTTGACCAAACTGCAGGAGGCAGTGGAAGACAGGAGGGCCTGGCGTGCTCTGGTCCATGGGGTGAGGAAGATTCGGACATGACTTAACGACTTAACAACAATAATTTATTTCTTCTTCCTCCTTCTCATTGCAAGGAGACTTGCAACAGACTGGAGGAAGTGCTTATTCATGCTGCACATCACAAATTGGTAGGATCTCACACCACAAGATATGGTGCCTGCTACTAGTGTAGATGATTTTGCCTTAAAAGGCAACAGAACAAATTCATGGAGGAACTTGTTACTATTTATTAGTCACAATGGCTAAATCTGTGGCAGGGGGCATATACCCTGCTTGGGGGAATTGCCAGATGGCCAGTCCGGCCCTGCAGGGGGCATATACCCTGCTTGGGAGGTTCCCACGAGTATCTGGGTGAGAACCGAGTGCTGGGCTTCTGCCATGGTTCAGCATGGCTTTTCTTTCATGCTCAGTTCAAGCCCCGAGCATAGTTGTGTTGTATGTTTGCAAGTGTTCAGAACACTGACTGGAGTCATAGGACGTTTTGGGAATTGGACGTAGTACAGACATTAGGATCTACAGAAAAGTCTGTAAGATTATTAGGTCCAGATTCTAAATTATCTAACTTCACCATTAAAAAAGCATTTCAATGTTGTCCCCCCCCCGATAAGCTGTTTTTTTTTTAAGCACAGAGCATAATAGTCAGTCACAACTTCTTCCATATCCTTTATTTCACCCTATATTTAAAATCTAGTCTCAGCCTGTCCTGAATGTATCAGTCTCTTTGCAAGCGCAGTTGCCATAAACACTGAGCTTTTACAGATGTCTGGAGTATATCACAGTGATGTGCTAATGTCCTAAAATACATTTTAAAACATATTTTCAGTTCACCAAGATATGTCCCATGCTGTCCTCTTAAAGAAGTGTTGCTTTTTAAGAACCCAATAGATGCAATAAAATTTCGTAGGAATACTTCTATAGAAAAATAATCCCTGTAGGGCATTCCCCCCCCCCATGTGCTGTCAAGTCAATTCTGACTTATAGCAACTCCTTCCAGGGTTCTCTAGATAGAGAATATACAGAAGTGGTTTCCCATTCGTATCTTCTGGGGGTACCCTGGGACTGTACAGCTTGCCCAAGGCCACACAGGTTGGCTCTACTTGTGAGAGACGAGAGGGGAATCAAACTCTCAACTTTTGGCTCTGCAGCCAGATACTTAAACCACTAAGCTATCCAACCTGCTATGTATGACATATGGAGGCAAAAAAAATATTGGACAAGAAAAACAACTTCTCTTGCAACAAAGAATGAACTGTATATAATGTGGGAGGACATTCTCAGCTTTGAGACACAGATTAATGGAAGGATTATCTAAACACACATATATGTTTTGTTATTGATTCATAAAATGCCACTGAAACATAAAGGATTTTTTTGAAAAAATGCAAACCTTCTTATTTGGACAATGTATGCCAGAATGGAGGGCATTTAAGGCCACGCACACTACATGAGATGTTAAGAAGTTGTTATCAGATCTTTCAACACAATGTTTTCAAAACATCGTGTCCTCTCTTCATTTCTCAGAAGAGACATTAGTTTGCCATGGATTAAGTTATAGAATAAACCGGGATAATACAGAACTCTCATCTCCCATGTTTATAATCAATGAATCACTTCTCATTCGTCTTTTGGAGGAAGCTGACTTTTATATAGCCAGCGTGACCCAAAGTGAGTGTGTTGGAGTTTAGCTGGGGAGACCCGAGTTCAAGTTCCCTCTCGGGAACAAGGTGTATCAATAGCGTGAAGAGGTTC